ATTTTCAAGTGTTAAAAATGATTATAGTAGCTTATATTGAAAAAACAGCAACAATAGTTGAAAGTGAGTACTTATACACGCTAGATCACATATAATAAGATTTTATTGTAGGACTACGATCTGCTTGGTGTGTAGTGTTTTTTTGTCGACTATGGTTTACCTGGATTAAATTTAAAACATTTAATTTAACACAAACCAGAAACAATAATAAAAGCAGATATTTTATTACACAACCAGCATATTTATCGGTTGAAATAAATGCTCATAATTTATTATATTTAATTTTACTTGTCAAACAAAAGCAGTTACCACCACAAGCATTGAATATTCCTATTTTTAACTCGCAAGCTTGTGAATCAATTTTTAGAAATACACGAGCGTTAAGTGGAATTTATTCAACCATAGTCAACTTTACAGTACATGATTTTCTACGACGTGCCCAAAGATTATCATTATTGAATGACATTAAATGTAAACAGTTACATAGTGGTTCAGTTGACAAGTTAGTCTTTCCGGTTCATTATAAACATCGGGTTGAACGTCAATCATCATTTACACACAGTCAACTTGAAATTGATGAAATAGACATCGAACGAGTTATTACTGATGCCTATCATCATGCTGTTGATATGCTTGAAGGTCTAGATATATTGAACTTATTGGAAAAAAAAACATGTTCTTGGATTAAAACCATTAAGTGAATATTTATTTCGACAATTAAATTCCAATTCACAAAAACATAATTACTCTTCTCAAATAAGCAATATAGACGATGAAGTATTTGAAAGTGACGATGATAATGATGAAGATGGAGATGACACAACAAATGATCTCAGCATGAATGAGGACAATGATGATAGGTCTATTAACAACGATTACACTGATGAAGATGAACAAAATAACACTCAAGATTTAATAAATACTACAAAGAAAGACTTCTCTGGAGTAAAAGTTGCTGATAAAGTGGAGCCTCATATTGAACATACCTATTTTAAAGTGAAATTAAATCATGATACAAAATTTTTACACAAACAAACTGCTTGTTGGTTGTTAACAGAAGAGAAAAGTAAACTTTCAAATGACCGATTACTTCGCGTGCAACAGGTTAATAAATGATAATATAAATGGTTTTTTCTTTTTTTTTTATAGTTTTTGTTTGATTTTTTTCAATAAAGGGTATATTTTGTTGAATTTAAAATTTTTTTATTCATTAAAGGTGTTGTATATGGGTGGTGCACAGATACTGTGCGAACATCTCAA